CTCTCTTGATTTACACATTTACAAGACTACTTTGAAGATGCTGGGCTGAGGGTATAAGAAAGCACTGAGACGGCTAAAAGCACATGCTTCAAGAGTGAGAAATCCCTCTGACACCAACTGCTGCTGCGCCCAGCTTCCTCGAGAAGTTGGAGAGAAACAGACCCCCTTTTCATTGCCGGTTTGGTGAGAAATCATCACCCTATAACTAATTACTGGACTTTGCTTTGGGCTCATTTGACTTTGAATACTTGGTATAAATAAAGCCTTTCTGTCACTCATCGAACGAGGTGTCGTGTCAATCCCGGAGACTAGTCCGGGATCCTGAGGTTTTATTTGCTAGCCGTGTGTTCTTGCACCAGCTCCCAGGCACGAGGTACTGATGGGAGCTGACAGCACCGGCTGAACCAGGAACCGAGTGGGGCCTCCAAATGAGATGCTCTGGACCTGGGCTTTGGAGGGGCTCTTCACCCACAGCTCCCATTGACTGCCAAGGAGATTTGGGGTGCTAGTCTCTTTTCAGTACAGGCTCCTGCCTGTGTCCAGCTGAGTGCCCCAAATCAGCAGCCAGTCAGGACAGCATTGATCATGGGCTTTAAGGCTAATTGCCATTATAAACCTATGCCTATGCAATCTCCTCCAAGCCCTTCTCTGATCATTTCTAGCATATCAGGCACCGAAAAAAACCCTTGCTTCACACACAGCTTCATAATGCAGAAACCTGTGGGTATATTGAAGGAGGATTTGCAGGCAATGCCCTGACATGCATGGGTAGCTGCTCTGTGGTTCCACACCTGTACGGCACCTACAGGATTGAGCCCTGAGCCTTGATGAGGGCTCCTTTGTGCAAGGTGATGGTCAGTCATGCAGGCAGTGTCTTCAGGCTCAATCCTGCAATTGGCCACAGGCCCTGAATCCATGCAGAACACAACAGGGAGCTTGTGGATCCAGCTGCAGGCTTCTGGCCCTGGGGATACAGGATGCTATGCAAATGCAGAGCATGATAAGCTCCAAGTGGACTGAGGAAAAGCCTCCCTTATCTATAGCTCAGTAAAGATCGCACAACAGGAAGCTTCTGGACAATATCAGATGCTTGCAGGACAGCTTTACCTCTTAATTGCTGGTGGCCAGTCATATCCCGTCAAGCAGCCAGTATTCCTTTTGGAGGCTTGGAAAAATATTGACCAGGTGAATTTGGAGCAATGCAACCACCTCAGGCCTTCTTTTCACGGTCTGGCTCTGTCGCCCAGTTGCTGCATTACCCACACTTAGCTTGGCCTTCGTAAGTCGGGCCCTTGGTGGCGTGTCGCCATTTTAACAGAACAAGGAGCAATGGGCTCAAGTTGCAGCAGGGGAAGTTTAGGCTGGATATTAGATAAAACTCTCTCACTAGGAAGGTGGTGAAGCACTGCAACAGGTTACATAGAGAGGTGGTGGACTATCCATCCTTGGAGGTTTTTAAGACCCAGCTGGACAAAGCCTTGGCTGCGGTGATGTAGTCGGGGCTGGTCCTGCTTGGAGCAGGGGGTTGGACTAGATGCGACCTCCTGGGGTCCCTTCCCACCTTCATTTTCTATGATTTCTGTGATTTCTAAAGCAGGAAGGTGCTGTTGCAGAAAGCCTTGCTGTATTCAGGGTGCCATAAACCGATGTAGCATGCGCCCATGGGTTCAAAATCCCACCGCCCCGCTTTGTCTCAGTAGGGATGACACACCACAGTACAATAACCCTGGAAAATACCTGCGTGCATAAACCGTCTCTGCTGCTGATTCTGCATTGTATTATCTGTGGTCGATACAGCATCCAAGGTGGGTAGGGTTTGGTCTGACACAACCACTGACCGTGTCCCAGTGAAGTTCAGAATAGCTAGTTCAAATCCAGATGTCGTAGGGTTAACAGAGACATGGTGGGACTCGTCCCATGACTGGGCAGTTAACATTAGGGGCTATAGGCTGTACAGGCGGGATAGAGAAGGCAGAAAAGGGGGGGGGGTGGCACTCTATGTCAAGGAGCACTACACATCCTCTGCCAGCAGAATGGGGTCAGGGGAAGGGCGAGCTGAAGTGCTCTGGGTCAAGATCCAGGGGGGTCAAGGCGAGAGGGATTTGATGGTGGGGGTCTATTACAGACCCCCCAATCAGGAGGAGGAGCTGGACAGGGAATTTTCAGGCCAGCTTGCAGAGACACTAAAAGCAAGGGATGTAGTTGTCATGGGCGATTTTAATTACCCGGACATCTGCTGGGAGGAGCAGTCAGCCGGGACGGACCGCTCCAGGAGGTTCTTGGCCGAGTTGCAGGACCTCCACTTGATTCAGGAGGTGCACAGTCCCACCAGAGGAGATGCCCTGCTGGACCTGGTCCTGGCCGCAGGCGACGACCTGGTAAGAGGCCTCCAGGTTCTTGACCACCTGGGCAATAGTGATCATCGCGTGCTGGAATTCACCATCCAGCGTAGAGTGTCAAGGGCCCGCAGCAAGGTGGTAGCCCTAGACTTCAGGAGGGCCAACTTCAGTGAGATGAGGAGATTAGTGGGAGAGGAACTGGGGTCCTTGAGGGCAGAGGAACTCAGCGTCCAAGAGGAGTGGTCGTTCCTTAAGGAAACGATACTCGGGGCCCAAGGGGTGTCCATCCCGACAAGAAGCAAAGGGGGCAGGAGTGTCCGGAAGCCCCCCTGGCTCACCAAGGGTGTCCGGGAATGCCTGCTTGCCAAAAGGGTGGCGTACGCCCGGTGGAAGGGGGGTGTAATCTCCAAAGAGGAGTATACCTCCTCTGCTCGGGCCTGCAGGCGGGCTGTTAGGAAGGCCAAGGCGGAGATAGAGCTCGGATTAGCGTCCAGGATTAAGGATAACAAAAAGTCCTTTTTCAAATATATTGGGAGGATGAAGAAGGCGCCGGGTAATGTGGGGCCCCTGCAGGATATGCGGGGCAATCTGGTGGTTGCGTCAGAGGATAAAGCGGACCTCTTTAACCAATTCTTCACCTCCGTTTTCTTGTGCAGGGACCGGGACTTCCCTGCTGTGATAGAAGCCGGACGCGAGGGGATCGCCTTCAGACCTCAGGTTGGGGAGGACCGGGTTAGAGAGCTTCTGGAGGGGCTGGACGCGTTCAAGTCAGCGGGTCCGGATGCTCTCCACCCCAGGGTGCTGAGGGAGCTGGCTGGGGTTATTGCAGGGCCCCTGGCACGGCTCTACGAGCGATCGTGGTGCTTGGGCCAGGTGCCAGACGATTGGAAGGTAGCTAATGTGGTCCCCATCTTCAAAAAAGGGAAAAGGGAGGACCCGGGCAATTATAGGCCCGTCAGTCTTACCTCAATCCTGGGGAAGCTCTTTGAGAAGATCATCAAGGAGCACATTTGTGATGGGCCGGCATCCGAGATGATGCTCAGGGGCAATCAGCATGGATTTATTAGGGGGAGATCATGTCAGACCAACCTGATTGCCTTTTATGATCAGGTCACAAAGGCCATGGATGCAGGTGTCGCGGTGGATGTAGTCTTTCTGGACTTCAGCAAGGCCTTTGACACCGTCTCTCACCCCATCCTAATTAATAAACTAGGCGACTGTGGCATAGATGCCTACACGGTCAGATGGATTGCAGATTGGCTGAAGGGTCGCACTCAGAGGGTGGTGGTGGATGGATCATATTCGACTTGGGGGGAGGTGGGTAGTGGAGTCCCTCAGGGCTCGGTCCTGGGCCCTGCGCTGTTCAATGTCTTCATCAGCGATCTTGATGTTGGGGTGGAGAGCAACCTGTTTAAATTCGCTGATGACACCAAAATTTGGGGGGAGGTGAGCACGCTAGCAGGGAGAGAGAGATTGCAGAAGGATCTGGATAGGTTACAGGGGTGGGCAGACAGGAACAGGATGCGTTTCAATACGGACAAGTGCAGGGTGCTGCACTTGGGTAGTAGGAACCAGCAGCACACTTATAAGATGGGGAGCTCCCTACTTGAGAGCACGGAGGCGGAAAGGGATCTTGGTGTCATTATTGACTCCAAGATGAACATGGGCCGACAATGCGAGGTCATGGTTGGCAGGGCTAACCGGACCTTGTCGTGCATCCACAGGTGCATCTCGAGTAGAGCCAGGGAGGTGATCCTCCCCCTCTATGCGACGCTGGTCAGGCCGCAGCTGGAGTATTGTGTCCAGTTCTGTGCGCCCCATTTCAGGAGGGATGTGGACAACATGGAGAGGGTCCAGAGGAGGGCCACCCGCATGATCCGGGGACAACAGGGCAGACCCTACAGTGAGAGACTGCGGGACTTGAACCTATTCAGCCTCCACAAGAGAAGGCTGAGGGGGGACCTGGTGACCGTCTATAAACTCACTAGGGGGAACCAGAAGGGTTTGGGGGAGACGCTGTTTCCCCTAGCCCCTGCTGGCATAACAAGGAATAATGGGCACAAGTTGATGGAGAGGAGGTACAGATTGGACATCCGAAAAAACTACTTCACAGTCAGGGCGGCTAGGAGCTGGAACCAACTTCCAAGGGAGGTGGTGCTGGCCCCTACCCTGGGGATCTTTAAGAAGAGGCTGGATACTTACCTGGCTGGACTCATTTGAGTCCCGTTTTTGTTTTTAGGGTGAGTGGTTTTGTTTGTGTTTTTGGGTTGTTCTCCCGCCCTGGCGGGGGATCGGGCTAGAAGATCTATTAGGTCCCTTCCGACCCTGAAACTATGAAACTATAAGTTAAATGAAAGCCCAGTATGATGAGAGTCCCACTTCACAGAATCCATGTCCAGGAGAATGAGGGGCTTGGCGGCGCCCAGCTGCAATTGCTGCTTCCTTTCAGCTAAAGCAAGCAGGGCAGGCGATAAGAATGAACCAGGCCCTTCATTCACCATCAAGCATAAAAACGCACCCACTTCTCAGCCACCACGTTGCTGCTTTCCTCCCCCCTCGTGCCCTCAGCGCTCTCAGGCAGGTCTTCCCTGGACCCAGCACAGATCTAGTCTGGTTACACATCTTTTCTACTACTTTCTACCTCTGTCATGTAGGGTCGGGAGCTTTTATTGACACTATTATATTAACCCAACCCATCCCATGGATGCATTTATACTGGGAAAGACGTGTCTCGTGCCAATAAAACTGTTTGCCTTCCTATGGAGGAGGACGTTATTCCAGTATAATGCCATCCCCACTACGTGGCTAAGACTCCAGCTGTATTAGTTGTGTGCAGATCTGGACGCAGCAGCTGTCGGCTTTGGGAGCAAACATAACGTTTGTAGTGCGGTACGTGGGCCACGGGAGAGGGCAGAGTGCCTGGCTGCTGAGCCGGAGGGTCCCTAAGGCAGTTTGGATGGATAGAGGAAAGGAAGCCCTAAGGCAGAGTCAGATTTTTCCCCGGTCTCCGCCGCTTTCTGAAACCAACCTGCCTGGATCACCTCTGGTGCGGGGAGAGTCCTGCGGTGGACCGACTGGCCTCGGGTTTTGTAGCTCCTGCCAGCAGCGGGAGGCAGGCTGAGCTGTCGGGAGTTTCTGAGCTCAGCGATGCTCGTCCGCGCTCTGACGCCGCCGAGGCAGAAGCGCTGCTAGTCGCTTCCTGCTGCTTTTATTTTTAAGGCCACGTAACCAGCTGCTACTTTCAACACGGTGCCCTTGGCAGGAGGTGGCGCGAGGCAGGCCACGAGGTGGGAGTCGGCAGAGGCCCGGCAGCAAGTCAAGGGTAGATGCTCTGCGAGGCAGCGTGGAGCATAACGGGATCCTCTACATAGAAATAGCACAAGGCTGATAGCGGGGATGGGGGGAGGCAGTCCAGCCTTTCCTCTCTTTCTCAGCTCAGCTGTAGGTAGGATGCTTGACACAATACACCTTTGCCTCCACCATCCCAGAAGGGCTTTTCCACCCTCTCTTCCTAGGCTCATCCTCCCCTCTGCCTGCTTTGCTCACCTGCACGCAAGGTGTTTCCTCTCTCTCTTCTTGATGTGAGACCATTCATCAAGAAGAGCTTGCCGCTTGCTGCTTTCTCTCCTCCATGAGAGCTAATAAATCCAAGCTAAATAAATAGAAGTGAAGGGGAGAGTCGTGGTTTCACAATGAATCACGAGGCGAAACGGCAAAGCAGAGTCCTCCCAGAGCTGCCACCTCCACCCCCACGACCGACCTGATTGAAGTCACAGGAAATTCCCCTGGCCTGCACCGCTCTTTACACGCCGAGGCCGTGTTTCTGTGTAACCGTCACTTCTCTCACACTGCAAGAATGAAGGAGCATTCATTTTCGATCGCCGTGCTCAAGGAAGGGGGAGAGAGAGAGACTGAACAATCACAGCAAATACAGTGCAAAGCTATCTAGCTAGCTAGTTATATTCATACTAAGCTGCACTGAATGGATGAAGACTGTGTGGGTACCAGGGACCCCTAAAAGGGAGCAGTATCCAGGATTTGGTAGTAGCGCCCACGCAGAATAGGGCCCAGCTGGATGTAGGCATTGCCCGAATTATAGGGATCTGTGCATCTAGCACATCTCAAAGGCACTTTGGAATAAATCTAAGTCGTCCCATTGCAATTTTAAATATGCACAATACACCGAACCACCTAGAGAATTCTGCTAAAACAATGTAAGTGTGCATATATTTAGCTAAATCTCATTCAGACGAGGACGGGCAGGAAAAGGTCTCTCCCTGCTCATTCGACCTCAGCACCACCTGCATTTCAGTGATTCTTAAATCTCCACTTACTGATGTGCAGGACCACGTCCCAGCTTTGAATTCAGCATCAGAAATTACTCCCTTCTCTGTGTTTATTAGCTACTGATGACGGTTAAGATCCACCCCCATGTTGATCAAGCTAGGGAATAAATATTTAAAAGAGAATTATAAACAAGCATGTGAAAGACTCGCTGCTTGATATTATATTTGCTGCCATTATTTTCTGCCAGTGACTCTTTTGTCTTGGAATTAGAATTTTATTTGAATAATGGCAGTCCAGTCTTGCAAGCAGAGCCGAGGACCTAACATGAGCTCCAGCGTGATAGATCGGTCGTGGCTTGCTTGCTTACCCCATTGCCAAAAAGCAAATGTCAGAGGAGAATGCAAAGAGCTATCACAGGTTAACATGAACAGCGGGGCTTTCCAGAGTCCCACAAACTTTGTCTGTACAGTTCACATTTCCAATCAGAGGAACTGGAAAGCTTTATATGATGTAAACTGAAAGGTTTAATATAATATAGTATCTAGAGGCTAACACAGTAGTGTTTCTTGATGGCACGGGGGAGACTCAGGAGATCAGTTGTGAGATGATATTGGATGGTATAATACTATAGACCAGGAGTCAGAAGAATAACGGCTGCATTTCTCTCTCTTTTTCAGCATCGAAGCAGCTTAGTTATCAGATCCCCTTTTCTGATAAATGCCCATGTGGGAAAGGCCTGCTCCTCTCGCTGAACTCAGGGTGCTCCTGACTCAACACAAGGCTGCTGCATCTGAAAAAGGAAGATTGAAGTAAAACGTCCACTTTCCCATTACCTGCTCTCAATCTCTGTGTGATTTTTTACTGCCAGTGGTAGTGTTTGCTATTTTGAAAAGAACTGCTGAGGACACAGGGCCTGATTCCACCCTCTCTGAACCTGGTGCAAAGCAGTAGTAACGCCACCAGTGTCAAAACAAGGTGCAGTGAAAGCAGAGTCCAGCTCAGGGGGGTAGCACACAGTAATCCCGACTACGATGCAAACTGGGAACCCCTTGGGATATTCCAGGATATGCTTCGGATATTCCAGACCTCCAGAAGCAGACATCGAATTGCAGAGAAATGGGAGAAACTGTCAGGTGGGCCCTGAAAATCAGCTCCCAAGGAGTTATTGTAGGCCGGATTTAAGGCGTGAAGAACTGCAGCGCTTTGGAAAGCACTTACAGGGACATATGCTGTATGGATTAGAGACGGGTCCACAGAGAGCGTGGGGCTCAGTGACAGAAAGCAGGTGTCATTACCCCGGCCAATTCAACCGCCTGCGGCCAAAATCAACACAACTTTTGCCCTCCACATTTCGGTTTTTATGCAAACAAGCTCTGATGGGGGAGCAG